GTTGAATCTGATGCCTAATGTAATAGAAAATGTTAGATCATCATATCAAGATTAAAAGGCAAATAAATATAAGTACATTAAGGTGCTCAAGCAACAAAACAGGGATTAGGAGAAAAATGTATAGTCACCAGTCTTGTTCTGGTTGAAAATATCATGTTTAGCAATAAAAGGGCACCGTTTAAAATCTTAAAGCACAAAGGTATAGACAAATTATCAAAATTGCACCCCTAAAACTGAAAGCTGGCAGACCCTAAGCTAGAAGATCTTCCAAATCTTCCATAGAATAGAAGTTGGAGAACAAGAAGAGTACAATTATAAATAAAAAAAAAAAGCTTTTTGGATGTTGAACACCAAAACCAAAATTGTTTCATAAACCTTCAGGAACTTTAAGTTCACAGCAGAAGCAAAAGGAAGAGTTGGAACAAGGTGCCCATGCCAAAGCAGATGAAAGGTGGGGAAATGGAAAAAATCAGGTTTATGTCATCTACCTTGAGTACGCAGCATGAATTGATTAAACATGAGTGCTATTCCATCATCCCTCATCATTATCGCATTGCTAGTGCATTTAAGAATACAGTTAAACTTGATCCTTTAAAACATACTTGTTATTTGACAGGACTACCAAAAAAGAATAACTACAAGAAGCATAAATTGACATACCCAACTCCTTTTGAACGTCTTGAATTCCTATCCATGATCAGACGAACATCTCTCACCTGAAGATGTAAACAAAATATAAGCCAAAACAGGAATAATGAAATTTGAGAGAGTTGAAACCCATAGGAGCCAGACATTCCAATTACACAATTAAACAAACACCTATTGGGGTGTTCACAAGAACATATTGCTTAATGCATATGTACATTTTAACTCACCCCACATACAGAGTATGTTGAGACACAAGAAAGTCATAATATTACCCGTTACTGAAGGCAGAGGAGCATATACTGCAAGAGGAAGCAGATGTATCTCAATAATATGCATTCACATAGTTGATTTGTTCTAACTATTGTTTCATGCAACAAAATTGCATCTATTCTTCAACATGCAAGAAATGAAGACAAGGTGAAAGCATAACATGAGAATACAATGTGTTGTAGATCTTAAGAAAATGCACCACATGCAATTAGTCCAGTATTTACGTTGTACCCTCAAGTGTATGTAACACTATCCACTTTGATGTTTACTTTCCTAAATAAAATTGGAACCCAGACACACCATCATTGTAAGGGAACAATCTCAGCAGAAGCTTCATACCAGAACTAGTCTTATGTGTTATTAGTCTACATGACATGGCATGAGAAATCCAACTAACCTTGCCAGCCCTTGAGAAGAATTCGTAGACATCTCTCTCTGTTGCCTTTAGAGGCATCTATTATCACAGCATCCAAACAGGGAAAAGTTATCAGCAAAAAGTGTGAAGAATTAAACAAGGAGCATAAAAAATTTTATGACCGGTAATCCTTTAAAGATTAAGACATAAGGTGAAACCTGATAAGCAAAAACAGTTCTCTGGTCCCTTTCTGGATCAGCTTCAGGCTCCACTGCTTCTTTCTTCTCTTTCAATCTCCTGAAAGCCATATTGTATAGGTTAGGAGATTCAGATAAAACCTTGAACGTCAAAAAAATCAAGTACAATGTCATGTTCACAATATAACAGGGGATACAATCAAACAAATCAGCTGCAGAGTGAAGAACAACCGAACACATGCATAAAATTTATGAGCTTGACAATCGCATAATAGTTTCATAGTGAATGCAACAATAAACACCACAATCATCCATCTTGCACCCATATCGAAAATCAATTAGGAAAATGTATAAACATTTCAGGCTTCCTGTTCAACATTGTAAACAATACCTGCTGTCTCTGCCATCGAGTTCCCTTTCCCTCTCTCGTTCACTCTCATGCTTCCTTGACCGACTGCTACTTCTCTCCCTCCTCTCCAGCTCTCTCTCCTTTTCCCTCCTCTCTCTCTCCTTCTCCCTCTCTTTCCTCTCCCTCTCCCTTTCTTTCTCCCTCTCTCTTTCCCTATCCCTCCTATCTCTCTCCCTCTCCCTTTCCTTATCCTTCTCCGTCTCTCTACTGCTCCTCCTCTCCGAGTCCTTGTCCTTCTCTCTTTCTCTATCTCTATCTCTATCACGGCTGCTCCTGCGTCGATCCTTATCACGATCTCGCCTATCGTCCTCGTCCTCTTCACGGCCTCTGGATTTCTTGCCGCTCCTACCTTCTTCATCCTCCTCCTCCCTCTCTCCATCCCTCTTCCTGTAGCTTCTCTCGCTCTTCTCCGTGGATCCTCCCCCGTCTTTCCTCTTCTTCTTCGGATCTTCTTCTTCCACGGTTTTCTCTAAGTACTCGTATTCGTCAAAATCCATTGAGACCTCGTGAAGATTTCGCGCTTCAAGGTTTTCGACTGCAACCTTGAAACGTTGGGTGAAAGAATCTCGTATGAGATAACTCTACTATTGCGGGGGGTTCGTGCGTCTAGGGTTTTGTCGGGGGTTTCAATTTGGGGTGCTAAAGGGCAAAAGGAGGTTGGATTACAGTTTGTTTAGGGTGCGTTTGGAATGGTTGTAAAGTGCTGAGTCTGTGATCGTTGTTGTGATTGTTATGTGTTTCGATTGTGTTTGAAATTTATTTTTATATTTAATTATTTATTTTTTTTAAAAAAATTATTTTTAAAAAATATTATTGTGCT